TCATCAGGCAAAAAAGTGGCATCGCGAATTGTCCAACAAAGTCCCATCTAGATGAACTGGAAACAACAAGTATGGTTCATGTATCCAAGGTTGTTCCAATGTGGCCTGCCTAATAGAATAGAATCGTGTTAACAAATAAAAAATTATTTACTCAATCACACTCAACAAATTTTGATTAGGTGAAACGAAAAGAGATGATTTTATATTATCACAGATCTGATTGTGGATATAAATAAGCTACCTTTATTGGAATAATGGCATGATACAACAATGGCTGTAGATCGGGAGGTTAAACAGGGCGGATACATGAATTTCTTCGTTTACCAACTCCAGCTGATCATGATTATGAATCAAAACTTTCTTCATTGCATAAGTGCCATCCTCTGGAGATCAAATTAATTCATAACTAGAACGAAATCAACAGATGCAATGCAGTTACTTTGAAACCCTAGAAATGGAATCTCAAAATCAGGGGTTTCTGTTTACTGGAGATGTGAGAGGGGTCTTTGAACTTCTTAGAGGCGTCACTCGCGGAAGCGTCGGTAAAGGCCTCCCTAACAAGGAAGACGTATGCAAACACAATAACCTAACCGTATATATATATATATATATATATATATATAGGGTTAGGTTATTGTTTTTTAACTATCTATTGTGTGCATGTAGGATTGATTCTGGACCAATCATTTTAGTTATTTTAAGAAAATAATTAATGCATATTACAGGTTGAAGATATAATGAATACTAATTAAATCTTCAGCATTTAATATGCATTAATTACTTTCTTAAAATAACTAAAATGATTTGTCCAGAATCAATCCTGCACACAATAGATAGTAAAAACATTTGAACCTAACTCTCTCTCTCTCTCTCTCTATATATATATAATATATATATATATATATATATATATATATATATATATATATATATATATATAGAGAGAGAGAGAGAGAGGAGAGAGAGAGTGGCGGTTAGGGTGAGGTTAGGAAGAAGAACCAGATACGTGTTTGTGTTTGTGTAGTCAATTAGGATTTTAAATCCTTAAACTAACTTGCCTAAATTAAAGGGATTAATTAATTAATTATTTAATTACCAAAACAAATTAATAGGTAAGATTACAAATTTACCCTTATTTGGGTTTTTGAAATGATTCGCCCACAATCATTTTGCATCCACATAATAAATACTAAAAATACATGAACCTAGTTTTCTCTCTGTATATATATATATATATATATATATATATATATATATATATATATATATATATATAGCGAAAGGTTATATGGAAAATAAAAAAACCTAAAAATAAATAAAAAAAATACTTAGAGATCATAATTTTTTTTTAAATTTATATTATGAAAAATCACAATTTTTTTTTTTGTAAATTCGCTGAAAAAGAATTAAAAAATCTATTTTTTTTTCTTTTTTGTTTTTTTTTTAAAATTTCAGCGAAGTTATATAAAATGTTGGGAATAGTATTATAACATATTTAATGTAATACTATTCATATCTATAAATGAGGTAAGGTTGAAAATTAATGGAAATAAAATAAAATAAAATATAAAAAATAAAAATGGATTGGAGATGCTTTTATAATACTTTTTTTTCCTCTAAGATAAATGAAACATACAACGGTTTTGCCATTTTTTTTTCTTTTGAAGATATGTTGGAAAGTTAGACATGCAGACTTTTTTTTTCATAAACACGAAATATATCATTTTGACTTTTAAGTCAACAAACATAATCACAGAGCTTTTGTAAAAGATTTTTCATTAAATTTAATATTACAAATATTTTTCATGATAAAGACAATAGCCAAAATTTTACAAGTTTTGTGTAACTAAAATTAAATACTTACCGGAAGAGTCGGAAACACATATCCAATTTCATATATGACAAAATCTTTTAACCCCATAATAATTGTTGGCAATATTTAAATTTGTTTGCAATTGTATCTATTTATCTTTTTGAACGAGAAAAGGTTATTTTATTAAATATACCAACAAGATGCTAGATATCAAAATTTTTAAATGAGAAGGGCAAGAAAAAAGGGAAAAACATTTCAATCTACATTCAGTTATATGTCATATTTTATTAATCCAAATGTAACTAATCGTCTTTGTTTATTGTAGAAGGATATCATTTGGCTATCTTTCATATGTTGTGGATACATATCCATTGAGGTGGGGTACAATAGCAGTTATATGATTGTTCTGATTGTGAAATGATTATGACCGTTGATTACGCACCATCTACACACCAAATTTCATATCGTTTTCGTGAATCGTGATAGTTCTGCAAATGTTTTTCATGACGGGCTTTCGGAAACATAAAAATATATCATGTTTGTTTAATTGAAATTAAATATTTACGGTAAAAATCAAAGCTCATATTCAATTGTGATAAGGAAAAGACATTTCGTCACCAAAATGTTAGGTAGTTAATAAATGAAATATGAATTTTGCTAGATCAATATTTAATTTGTACATCATGCCCTTCAGACCAATTAAACACCCAAAAATGTAAGGTATCCGCTTTATAGAAGGGTATATTTGCTGAAAATTCGTTAATTTTTTTTTGAAGTTTTACGGTTATAACTTAGCACAGGTTTTTTCTTACATTAATACTAAAAATTTATCCAACATTTTTTAAATTTGACGTTTAACTTGTTAGAACGGAGGGAGCGGTGTTACGATTGCCCATTCCATTTTGTTTGCCAAATCAGTATCATCTTAACTTCCTTCTCATTTTTACCATACATGTCTAAAATGTTGTCATTGCTTTGCCATGTGGTGCTAATTTTTTTATTTAAACAATTTAATATATATAACAATTAAAAATTGAGTAAATTACACCAATGGTCCCTATGGTTTGGGATAATTTGCACGTTTGGTCCCTAACTTATTTTTTTAACCTGGAAGGTCCTTATTGTTTCTTTTTGTTACGCGTTTGGTATCTGTCTTACCTAAATAGACTATTTTCCCTTGATTTTTTAATTTATTTAATTAAATACACCCCAACTCTACCCCCTCACTTTACCTTACGTACCTCACCATTTTTCTTTATTTAAATAATAGTCTTTTTAGGTAAGACATGGACCAAACGTGTAACAAAAACAAACAGTAGGGACTAGGCGCGTAACAAAAAGAAACAATAGGGACCTTCCGAGTTAAAAAAATAAGTTAGGGACCAAGCGCACAAATTACTCAAATCATAGAGATCATTCGTGTAATTTACTCTTAAAATTTTCGTCTATTGAAATTAAAAACACACAACAATGAAATTCAAAATAAAAACTTAAAAATACAAAAAAGGAATAATTAAAACATGTTAAATTTAATTTATTGTTTAACTGAAACGTGTTTTTAGAGTGTTCAAACAATATATGTTACCAATTTATTAAAAAAACAAAACAGTTAATATTTTTTATTTTTAGATAATCTAATGATCTTATTTAATTATAATCATATAACATAGATATTAGATCTCAAAATTCTAAAATATATTATCTAAAAATATATTTTGTTTCGTATGATATCCTATCTTCTCGCTATGTCTTCTCAATGCATTCTATTGAATCCATTGGTGTCATTTCTTTTCTTGAAGAGATGAAAGAATTAAATGGAAGAGAAAGGAGAAATAGTTCTGCATGACTTGCAAATCTAACTTTAGGAGGAGACTACGCAATGGGGAAGATGGAACCCGATCTTTAGTGGAAAATGTAAGTGAGTATAAAGTATTAAAAAAGAATCATGAAGAATATGAGGCCCATCTCCAAGAAGGTACAATTGAACTTTTGAGGAAATTCATGTATGACGATATCGGAAGCAACCTATTCTGCAACCCATCCAACTCGTCCTAGTAGTTATATGTTTTGGATGTTTTTATTTGGACTTCTCTATGTTTATGTTTATTGTTGTGGTTGATACAAATTAAAATCGAGTTTATTTTTATTATCATATTTTTCTTCATTACGATAAAAATCTGAATTCACATTTTAAAAAGTTTTAGAAAAAACAATTAAATTAGTGACATATTATCAACAATGACCCTTCACAAACCATATCCAACCCCTTATTCATCATGAAACCTTCAAATCCGTCTTTAAAGGTGGTCATTGTTAAATCCTTTCACATACATAGTAGTAACGAGATGTTCTTTGTTTTGTTAATATCTTGAATCCCTTGTCTCCACAACCCTATGGCTCAACACATCCCTATCTATCCACATCGAGTCTCCGACTCTAAAGGGGCGTGTTAATGTATCCCACACCCCCTTCTCTCCACAAGAGCTCTTTTGGAGAGTTTATCTTGGACTCCACGTACATTTACACAAATCACCATATAACCTCTTCATTTTTGGTATATATTGATTACCGTGTTATTCTTTGCTATGTAAAATAAGGAGATAATCGAGCCTCCGACTTTGAGGGGAAGTGTTAATGTATCTCGCACCCCTTCTCTCCACAAGTGTTCTTTTGAAGAGTTTATCTTGGATTCCATATATATATGTATAACCTCTCCATTTTTTGTATATATTGATTACCCCGTTATTCTTTGCTGTATGAAATAAGGAGAAAGGGTGGGAATGATGAAGTAAGTAATTTGTTGATTCTTCTTACAGGAGGCAAACTCGTCAATTTGAGATATATATATATATATATATGATATGTGCTGGATTTTGCCATATGGAGAAAAAAGACAATGAAGTCATAATGAAACAAAATGTCAACATTTTCACGATTTCAAAGAAGAATCTTAAAAACAAAGGACTACGAAATTTGGAACAAACACCATTTACCCCACAAAACAAAACCATTATGTTATCATGGCACACATTTTAACCTCATTTTGTAATCATAGATTCCTCAGTTAATTTTATAAATTAAGTATTCGTATGAAATTCTTCGAAGCATACCTCAAAAAATAAATCCTCTCTCTCTCTCTCTCTCTCTCTCTCTCTCTCTCTCTCTCTCTCTCTCTCTCTCTCTCTCTCTCTCCAGTTGACTATGGGCTCGGAAGGTGTTGTGAAGAAGCCATTGCAATACCCAATTGCTCGTAGAGATGAATCCGTGGTTGATAACTACCATGGTGTTGCTATTTCTGATCCTTACCGATGGTAAATTCACTTTGTTTATTTTTGTCTTATCTATATTTTACTTTTTTTTTTGCACTTCTTCGGGATCATTTTATTTTCGAAAAGAATTCCTTAAAAGAACCATGGAAAGCAAACAATATTTTACTAAATTATATGTCAAATCGGATCTTGCATTCTTAAAGAGGTATCTTAATTATACAACAATAGAAATTTGATAGTATATAGAACTAGTAGCATCTACGAAATCCTAAATATATACAAATTTGTGTACTATATAGGATTGAAGATCCTGATTCCGAAGAGGTAAAAGAATTTGTGGCAAATCAGATGAAAGTAACGGAATCAGTGCTCAGGAATTGCGATTCCAGGGACAGACTTCGTGACAAATTGACCAAGTCATATGACTACCCTCGCTACGGATGCCCGTTTCAAAAAGGGAATAAATATTTCTATTTTCATAATCCCGGTCTTCGCTCTCATCCAATCCTTTATATCCAGGTATGTATGCTTCGGAATATGAGTCACCATTCTCATGATATAAAAACGACTCAATCTGTGTTATAAGTATTTAGATTGTGTTTTAAAACATTTTAATTTTCAGGAATTTTTTTTTATTTAAATATATATATTTACTTGACTGGATTAATTTTCAGGATAGTTTAGATGAAGAAGGTGAGGTTTTGCTCGATCCAAATGGACTAAGCGAGGATGGAACAGTGGCTTTACGAGTTTTTGAGGTCAGCCATGATGCAAAATACTTGGCCTATGGTTTAAGCTCGAGTGGAAGTGATTGGTTAACCCTTCAAGTTATGAATGTGGATGACAAAATCGTTCAACCAGACAAACTTTCTTGGGTAAGATCTTAGATTAATTACATTCCTAAACTTTCATATGTTTTCTTAATTATGTTAATTACTAGGTGTGGGAACCATGTATTACACAAGTTAATTAAAAATAAATATATAAATGTCTAAATATTTAAGAATTTTGAATTTATAAGAAACTAAGAAAAATAATGAATTATTAAAAATGATTTTTTTAACTTTTAAATTTAAATAAATAAACAAAATAAAGTAATGAACTTTAATTTGAGAATTTTGAAATAAGAAAGTAAGTTCATAAATGAAATTGATATTCATTTATTACTACATTTATTGTAATTATTACATTAAAATATTATGTTGAATTTATTAAAATAGAAACACTCATAAAATGACTTGTGGAAAACAAATTAATTCAAAATAACCACAAAATGACATTTGACAAATTGAATGAGAGTATGACATGTGGCAAAAAAACTTTCATTTATTAGATTAGATATAACTAAATAACATGCATTATTGTAGTATTATATTGAAGAAAAAAACGGAAAAGAATTCATTTTAATCGTTTACAAAATTCTCATGATCCTTTTGATAGGTGAAATTTACGTCGATCAGTTGGACTCATGACACGAAGGGATTTTTCTACTGCCGATTTCCTGCTCCCAAGTAATTAATTATTTCTTTTATAATTAAATATAATCTTTTTTTAGATTATAGTTTTATATAAAATAAAGACGAATTTGCGTAACATTGTTTAGGGAGACCCAAAAGATGGATGTGGGCACGGAAGTAAACGTTAACTATAATCATCAACTCTATTACCATTTATTAGGGACGAAACAATCAGAAGATATATTATGTTGGAATGATCTTGAGAACCCTACACATATTCTTGAAGCAAGACTTGCGGATGATGGAAAGGTGGTCATAAGATCTTTGTTGTTAGGTCGCCTACAATGCATTCAACCTTATAGAGCTTAATGGATCGTCGTTTTATTATTTTATTTTTCATACAACTCTAGCATTTTTTCCTCTACAATATATTAAACTCTACAAAAAAATCAATGAAATATTTCTTTTAAATGATTTTTTTTCTTTCCATCAAAGAGTTCAATGGCCATTGAACTTTATATCCTTGGAATGCCAACGATGCATCCCACTATGTTTGGAATTTAATCAATTGAAAACTATACATTCCACCTCATTCAACTTTTCCATTAAACTATGCATCGTGGATGCTATTATAGGTTTTGAAGTTAACGTTTGAAAAGTTTAACAAGTAATCAGTTTTGCTCCATTTTGCAGTATCTTCTTATGAATATATGTAAAGGTGCGGCACGACTCAACAAATTCTATTGTTGCGATTTATCTACTTTACCAAATGGTGTTGAAGGTCATAAAGGAAAAGGCATTCTCCCCTTCGTGAAGGTTATTGATAATTTTGAGGCAAATTATGAAGCCATTGTAAACAATGACACAATCTTTACCTTCCTGACTAACAAGCATGCTCCAAGGTACAAGTTAGTTCGAGTAGATCTCAAGAAACCGAGAATTTGGAGCAAAGTGCTCAAAGAATCAGAAAAGGATGTAATCGATTCGGCTCTACCCATAAATGGAAACCAGCTGATCGTTAGTTATTTGAGTGATTGTAAACATGTTTTGCAAATACGAGACTTGGAGAAAGGTGACTTGTTGCATACATTGCCTATTGATATTGGTAGTGTCAACTACATTAGCGCTAGGCGCCAAGATACTATGTTTTTCGTTAAGCTTAGTAGTTTCATCACCCCGGGTGTCGTTTATCAGTTTGATTTGAAAACTATGGTTCCACAAGTGAAGGTTCTGCGTGAGATTGTGGTTTCGGGATTTGATCAAGCCGCATATCATGCTAATCAGGTATGCATTTATGAACTTCAATGTAAGCGTAATTAACACCTTTTTTGTTACGCAAGACATACAAGACGAGATATAGTGGGTTGTATTGCATTAATATGCATTGGACTTAAAATGAGGTTGATGTCAATAATCCTCATTCCCAGTCTCTCTTTTTGCATGAAATTGGAGTGAGACTGAGATTAACAGGGAATCACACTCGATCTCTCGTATGTGCAGAAGACATGAATGCCCTCCCCACCTTCCTCAGCCCTACAAAGTACTAGAAATAGGGACCACCACCAGGGGCTTTATCCTTTAACCTCGCAAGGGGGTGCGCCCTTGATCCCCGCCATTCGTCATGTTTGGGATCAATGTCGCCTTATATATAAGTGTGCACCCCATACTACCTAAATACTATTAGATCATATTCTTAATCATTTGGCACTTATAGCAATTCCAATTAACTATAATGGTCGGTCATACTAAAATCACTAACATAAAGCTTCTCCAATACCATGGACTCTCTTTAGTCATGTTGTATGTAGCAAACAAAGTCCTAGAGATACATTTTAACTTTACTTATGTTTTAGGTGTTTGTGCATAGTAAGGATGGAACACAAGTACCTGTATTTATCATGGCTCGGAAGGATTTAGTTTTGGATGGATCGCACCCTTGCTTATTGTTTGGATACGGTGGATATGGTGTTAGTTTAACACCATCATTTGACATTACTCGTGTGGTTTTAGCACGTCATCTAGGTGTTGTATTTTGTATAGCAAATATTCGTGGTGGTGGAGAGTATGGAGAAGAATGGCACCAAGCCGGTTCACTTGGAAATAAGCAAAATTGCTTTGATGACTTCATTTCAGTCGCTGAGCACCTTATTTCTTCAGGTTATACTAACCCTAGCAAGTTGTGTATAGAAGGTGGAAGCAATGGTGGCACCCTCATTGGTGCTTGCATTAATCAGGTAGGTATCTTTTTTTTTTTCTCTACTCCAATAGCCAAACTATGACACAACATTGATTCGTTAATTATGGTTGTGACAGAGACCAGATTTATTTGGTTGTGCTCTAGCTCATGCTGGTGTCATGGACATGTTACGATACCATAAGTTTACTATCGGTGAGTATACATGTGACAATGTGTTCTACATGTCTTTGAGGAGTCGTGCTTGTTTTTTTTATTTGTTTGCCATAAAAATTGATCATTTTCGTGCTTTAATTAGGTCATGCTTGGCTTTCCGAGTTTGGTTGTTCAGATAAAGAAGATGATTTTCATTACTTAATCAAGTGAGTCAAATCGTTTCTCAACGCACATTCATAGTATTATCTTAAAGGACGATCGTGCCACGGTCTTTAATCAACTCCGTGACAAACTCTTGAATTATCTCGTTAACAACTTTTGATTATTAGGTATTCGCCTTTGCATAATGTTAAACGACCATGGGAAGATGCTTCGATAAGGGTCATTCAATATCCATCAACAATGTTATTGACTGCTGATCATGACGATCGTGTTGTGCCATTGCACACATTGAAATTACTAGTGGTGTGTTTAATTTTGTTATTAGTCACAAGTTAAATTACAGTAATTCTCATGGTTTATTCAATTCTTTGATTGTATGATTCATCTTGTAGACCATGCAACATGAGCTATGTACAAGTGTGAAGAACAGTCGACAGATAAACCCGATCATCGGAAGAATCAGTAGCAAATCAGGGCATGGATGTGGGACCTCAACCCAAAAAATGGTAAGTTTGTAACTTCAACTTTGTACTCTAAGTTGATCTTTTCTGGCATGGAACTTAATGTGAAATATGGATTAATTGCAGATCGATAAACGGGTAGATTGTTATAGCTTCATGGCAGAAGCAGTGGGTGCACACTGGATAGATTAACATTTATGTTGTATAAGAAATGAAGCGCATGTGTCTACTTCCAAGTCATCATACATTATATTTTTAATTAAATAGCATTAAATATTACATTTTTGTAGCATTTACAAACAAAATATGACGTATAACAATATTCTGTTATTAAATTTGTACAAAATAAAATATCCTAAATAGTAAGTTAATATTTGTTAAAATATTTTATTTTGTACAATATAAGACAAGTTAAAATCTTTTGTACGTGTTAATGGGATTGAGATCTATCAAATATAAATCGAAATAATTACAAATCTAGTCTAACAATGATAACTATGATACTTGGTCATTTTTCTTTCCAATGATAACAATGATAACTGGATGTAGAATTGAGAAATAGCTTATGTGGTAGAACATTGGTAAAGATACAGACATCTTGACATCTTGATAGGAGAAAAAAATATCTGCCACACAAAACTGCTCAATAACATTTTTTTTCTCAAACAAAATGGATGTATATCTTTATATTTGTTAGTTTGTTGGTGATAACGTGGAGACAAGGAACTTCTCGGTACCAAATTCATTGTAAAATTTTTGGGATTGACACAAAAAAAAAACATTTAGAAATGGATTGTTCGTCCAAGAGTTTTAGTTTTGAGCTCATTAAAGAGTTTTCCGGTTATGCTTACAAACAAATTTTCGAACTCGAAGTTTAAATGTAGTTTGTCGGTCAAGATGAAGTTTTTTTTTAAAAAAAAATCGAAAAGTCAAGGGGTAAATTCTACATAACAAAATGTCAAAACTAACATATAGGTAGTTGAGATGCCCTCTTGAGTGTTTAAATTCTACTTGGGACATAGATGAACTTAAGCAAAGTGTTGTACTCTAAAAAAAATATGTTCATTCTTTTAAATATGTATTATAATCATTTATTTTTTCATTTAAGCTTAAACAAGAAAAACAAATGATTATAATACATATTTAAAAGAATGCAAACTATATATATATATATATATATATATATATATATATATATATATATATATATATAGTTGAGATGCCTCTTGAGTGTTTAAATTCTACTTCGGACATAGATGAACTTAAGCAAAGTGTCTGTACTTTAAAAAAATATGTTATTTTTTAAAATATGTATTATAATCATTTATTTTTTTCATTTAAGCTTAAACAAGAAAAACAAAGACAAAACTGCACAAATGGTCCCCGTGGTTAGCTCAAAATTGCCACTTTGGTCCAAAAAAGTTTGGACTAGCACTAGAGGTCCAAACTTTTCATTTTGTTGTAAGTTTAGTCCGATTTGATTTGCACTTTTTTGTATTGACGATTTTGTCCCTTATTATTTTATTTATTAATTTTCTTTTATTACAACAATTTAAAAACAATTAAGAAAAAACCAAAAATAAAATACCCCTAACACGTCTCTCTCTCTCTCTCTCATGTTCTTCATTTCTACTTCAAAATACTCATTTCCCTCAAATCTGTCATGTACGATGGCCTACAAATCCACCATCATCGAGACCAACAAGGTCTATCTGTTTTCCGACAACATATACATTCAGAAAATTGCTACTTCTCCGACGACGTTGATGATCCGACGAGCATAGAGATGAACAAATCTGACGAGATATCTAGGGTTTGTTGAGGTGGTGGCGTCGACGAAGGCTCGGGTTCGGACGACACACTGGTTTGAGAAACGTCGTAGGGGTTGGGGTTTTGCTGTTTAGGGTTTGAAAAGCATTGTATGGTAGCTCAAACATGAAGATCTATTGTCACCGTCGTTTTTTTGGATTTGAACAGATCTAGCGAGATATCTGACGGCGTTTAGGGTTTCAGCCGTCCATTTCTCTCCTTCTCCAGCGAGGTGCCATTATTTGCAAAAACCCTAGCGCCGCCACCCTCTAGTTTTTCGAAACCCTAGATTTCCAGATCTGTTGTCACCCTCGTTTTTTGCTTCGATCCACAGACGTGAAGATCTGGAAATCCTTGGTTTTTTGCTTCGAACAATAGATGGATTAAAGATGATTTTGCTCCGACGAGTGTTGTGCATTGAATCAGGTTTATGTGTTGGGTCTTGTATATCAGATTTCTAGTTTTGTATATCAGATCTTCTTGAACATATGTATGGATGTATTTGATATCATCTGTGTTTAACCATTTCTGGGTTTTTAATGTGTTCTTATATGTTAGATTTCTAATTTTTGTGTGTTTGTTCATCGAGAGAAAGAGAGAGAGAGAGAGAGAGAGAAGGGGGGAGAGAAAGAGAGAGTTATGTATGTGTGTGGTGTTCATTGGAGCTAGGTAAAACTTTCTGATGACTGAAGGTTCTGGCGATTAAGGTTACAAAGGAAGCTTCAGCGTCGACGGTGGTGGTGGTTGGTGTTGGTGGCGGCGGTGATGTTGACCGGTGGTGGTGTTGGTCTTTTGCATTGTAAAAGAGAGAGTGGGAAGGATATGAGTAATATTTTAGTTTTTATTTTCTTTTAATCATAAAAATATTTAAATAAATAAAATAGAAACTGAAAAAGAAAAGAAATAAGGGTAAAATTGTCATTATAAAAAAGTTCAAAATAAATTGGACCAAATTTGCAACAAAATGAAAAGTTTGGACCTCTGGTGCTAGTCCAAACTTTTTTGGACCAAAGTGGCAATTTTGAGCTAACCATAGGGACCATTTGTGCAGTTTTGTCAAAAACAAATGATTATAATACATATTTAAAAGACAAAACTGCAAATTTGGTCCTTGTGGTTTGCAAAAACCTTTGGATGGGGTCCAAAAAGTTTCTAGCTTGCACCGAAGGTCCAAAATCAAGGTTTTCGTGGGTTTTTAGTCGATTCCGTCATTGTCCGTTTGTTTGGAGCCGTTAGTGCCATCACGTGCCCTCCATGTGAGGGCATTTTGGTCATTTTAGGTCCTAGCCTCCGTTGCCGCCACTTCAATTAATAAGGTTGCAGACTGTACTTCACTCCTTCGTCTTCTCCCATACCTCATTAAGCAAGACGCAAAAACCCTAACCATTGTCTGAGAATTGATTTTCGTTCATGCTTTTGAAAATGTGGGGACTTAGAAATGTTGGAGAGAATGTTAACGTTCAAGAAGTTTATGGTAAGATTCAAACTTTGAAAAAACTTTTGAAAAACTCTGTATTTGATGATCAAGCTTCAAACTATTCTCTAACAATCGTCTCTTTCTATTTTGAAGATGGTTACCCCAACATATTCTCTATTGGACTCCATCACGGAGGGAGTTTCACAAAGTTTCCAAATATCAGGTATATTAATGGGCAAGTAAGGTACTTTGATGTTGTCGACATTGATGAATTTTCTGTTCGTGAACTATACTTGATGATGAGAGAATTAGGGTATGATGGTACTGAAATCATGTATTACCATTTCCGTTTGCCTAATGAAGGATTTGAGTTTGGACTCCGAGCATTAGGTAATGATGATGATGTGCGTAATCTCTCACAGTATGTTACCCATAACAAAATGATTAAAGTGTACACAGAGCATGGTCAAACGAACTTGTTTACATATTTATGTCCCCAACTGGTCCAAGAAGGGTTATAATAGAAGACATGGACAATCAGGATCCTTCTAGACCCTCATCACATGTAGTTGCTCATAAAGTGGTAACTCCAATCCAAATTGATGTTGGTGAGGGTGATTTAGGGTTAGCATTAACCTTATACAAATCAACAACACCTGAATTTAATAGGTCTAAAGGTTGGAAACATAGTAAATGGGCATCGTCTTGTAGTAGAAAACTTAACTTGGATTGGGAAGGTGGTGAAAAAAACAATGGCAAGTGGTGAAGTTGATAAAGGTAAGGGTGTTGACCCAATGCATCCTGAATTTGTTGTAGTTGATGCAAAAAAAGAGTTAAACAAAGAGATTGATGTGAATGAACAACTTGACATGAACAAATCCAATGGTGAGGGTGTAGAAGGATTTACAGATAAGGGGTATAGAGTTGTCATGGATAATGATCCTCAAGGAGTCAATGAATTTTCAACTAACATCAACATAGATGATGAGTTAATGACAAACTTTCAACCTTTTGAAGGGTTTGAAGACCAAGATAACATCCCATTTAATGGGTTTGAAGGCCAAGATAATATTCCTTTCAATGATGAGTAGAGACAAGAGGATCCTGATGACATTGACTTTGAGAATCAAAACAGTGAAGATGAAGATAGTGACTTTATGATTGATGAGGACAACATAATTGAAGATGTTGAAGTTGACATGGAGGATTTAAATCTAAATATTGATACATAAGCAGAGTTCACTGGATGTCAAAGTTTGGGTGGTCAAAGAAATGAAGAGAGTGATGAAGAAGAGGATGTGGAGGTAATTGATAATGACGAGTGGGATTCACTTAGTGATGACTCAGGGGACAACAGGAAAAGAAGAGAAATGATCAAAGAGTTGGGGAAACAAACATTATGTTCTGCTGGTGAGGTGTACAAGGTAGCTTTTCATATTGGGCAGAAATATAAAGCCAAGAAAGAATTGAAAGATAAAGTCGACCTGCATGCTTTAGAGACAAGGAGGAATATCTCATTCACAAAAAATGACAAGAGTAGATTAACAGTTGTTTGTGATGGAACTGTAATTGTAATTGCAAGTGGGATGGGTGGACCTACCTCTGGGAAAAAGGTAAAGGGTAAAGATGTAAACTCTGATAAAGTTAAATGCACTTGGAAACTTCATGCATCTAGGTCAAGTGAGCAGGACTATTGGTTTATTAAGACCTATAATCACCAACACATCTGCCTACAAACACGAAAAATTAGATCTTGCACAGCAACATTTCTTGCCAAACAAAGTATGGATCAGATTGAAGCTAATCTTGGCCTGCCTGTTCGTGCCCTACAAGAGCAACTCCAATCAACATATGGGGTTAGTATTTCAGAAGAGAAAGCAGTTAGGGCAAAAACATTAGCCACCAAAAATGTTGCAGGAGATTACGTAAAGCAATATGCAGCTTTGAGAGAGTATGTACTAGAGCTACAAAAGACAAACGAAGGTACAACTGTAAAGATTGATGTGGTTTCTGAACCTGTGGTTTCATCCCCAACCAGGCAATTCAAAAGGATATACGTGTGTTTAGGTCCTTTAAAGAAAGGATTTAAGGCAGGGTTGAGAGAATTTTTAGGCTTAGATGGAGCCTTCATGAAGGGACCTTTCCCCGGTCAAATACTAAGTGCAGTTGGTGTTGATTCCAACAATGGAACCTACCCATTGGCATATTCTGTTGTTGATAGTGAAAACACTTCAAGTTGGAAATGGTTTCTTCAGTGTCTTGGAGAAGATCTTGACTTGTATTCAGATTCCAACTTCACCTTTATCAGTGATAGACAGAAGGTACTATAGTTACATATAATATTATATACTAGCTGTCATTACAGACTAATGCTAATTACTTATTTTGTTATGGTGAAAACAGGGTCTTCTACCAGCCACAAAACAATTGTTTCCTAATGCAGAACACAGGTTCTGTATTAGACACATATACCAGAACATGAGGAAGTTATTTAAGACTACAGAGTACATGGAGTATTTTTGGAGATGTGCTACAGCCACCACCATACCAGAGTTTGAAGCTGTAATGGTAGAGCTAAGGAGTTATGACATAGAAGCATATCAGTGGCTCCTGAAAATCCCTCCATGTCATTGGGCTAGAAGTCATTTTTCAGGTATTTTCTCAATTTGTTGTCTTATTTTTCATTATAGTATAGATATACACTAACTGTTATTTTGTTAATGAACTACTAGGACGGGCAATTTCAGACGTGTTATTGAATAACCTTTGTGAAGTGTTCAATAGCAAACTTGTGAAAGGGAGACACAAACCCATTATCAGCTGTTTGGAGTTTATCAGAGAGTACCTTATGAAGAGAGTATGCAATGTGATGAAGGTGTTAAACAAGTGTCAAGGTCCACTAACTCCAACTGGTACTAGGATTTTGGAAGCAAACACAACACTTGCTAGTAAGTATCATGCACGATGGAATCGGGGACAAAAGTATCAGGTTAAAGGCCCATGGAATGATCAACATGTGGTGGGCATGGATAAAAGGGAGTGTAGTTGTAGAAAGTGGGAGCTTACTGGAATTCCTTGCAAGCATGCAATTGCAAGCCTAAATGAAATGGCAGACAATGCTGAAAAGGTGGGAGAACTATACACCTATGTGCATAAGGTGTATTGGCTTGATACATGGAAAGAGATGTACTCCTTCAAGGTGGAGCCTATCAAAGGTAGAGCCATGTGGCCTAAGAGTGACTGCCCAACAACTCTTGTCCCTCCACCACACAACAAAGCTATAGGCAGGCCAAAAAAAGAAAAGGAGGATGACAACAGAGGAAAGGATTGAAATTTAGCAACGAAAGAGGCAAGCAAACAGCCAAAGTAAAAATGATAATGAAACTTAAAAGTTGAGCAGGAAGTTTTTGACTGTAACATGTAGTAAGTGTAAGCAAAAGGGTCACAATTCCAGGACCTGCAAGGCCCAAGATGGGAATTGATGTTTAAGTACTTAAGTTGTTTATGTTTGTGAAGACTTGTTAATGCACTTTAGTTGGTACTTTGATGCCCTTTTTTGGTTCCCTTTTGATAATGTACTTTGATGACCTTTTATGGAACAATGTAATCCAATGTTTTGGTAATGTACTTTAATGCCCTTTGTTGGTAATGATTGTGTTTTGGCATTCATCTGTTATGGTATGTAACTCAATATTTGTATGTAACCTTTTTTGGTACCCTTTTGGTAATGTACTTTGTTATTGGTTTATTTTGTATTGTCAAAGCATGAAGATGTTATGGCAATGCACTTAATATATGCATGTAAAACCATTACAATTGCATATTCAAGTGTAGACAAAAACCATTACAATTACAATTTCATATTCATATAAAGATAAAACCATTACACTTCCATTTATCATAACAGCATTACATATCTAAAAGACAACACTTACAACATATATAAACCACCATTAAACCTTCTAGCACCAAAAGACAACATTTTCAAGTGGTTATTACCAACAAAAAATCCCTAACCTCTAATTCCTAATTCCAAAATAACACAAACAACATAAACAAGACCCACGAGGCAAGCAAGTACATCTTCAGCTGACCCACTTCAAGCTCATACCTATTCATTGTTCTCAACAATCCTGGTATGATAACAGTTGATCTTTGACACATAGGGGGATCTACCCACCCCAAAAATCCACATCTGGATCCCTACAAGAATACATTAAAGTAGAAGAGTTATTGCATAACTACCGAAATATCATAACCTAATATGAGTTTGCTTACCATTTTAGGGCATGCATAGAAATGACGACCAGGGTTTCGTGAGGTCCATGAGGTTCACACAACATCAACATTCCCACAGAAGCAGAGCACCATTTTTGAAGCTCGTAACAGTAGAAGTAGATGAGTGACAAAGAAGAAGAAGACCTTTGTTGCTGCTTCTCTGTAAATCAAAATGAAGAAGAAGAAGGGGATTGCGTATGAGTATGTATATAAAGGAGAAATATGATATTATTTAAAATAAGGACCTAAAATGACCAAAATGCCCTCACATGGAGGGCACGTGATGGCACTAACGGCTCCAAACAAACGGAAAATGACAAAATAGACTAAAAACCCACGGAAACCTTGATTTTGGACCTTTGGTGCAAGCTGAAAACTTTTTGGACTCCATCCAAAGGTTTTTGCAAACCACAAGGACCAAATTTGCAGTTTTGTCTATTTAAAAGAATGCAAACTATATATATATATATATATATATATATATATATATATATATATATATATATATATATAGTTTGCACCATAGGTCCAAAGTTTTCATTTTGTTGTGATTTTGGTCCAATTTGATTTAAAAATATTTAAAATGATGGATTTACCCTTGGTACTTTCTTTTTCTATTTTTTTTTATTTAAATGTTTTTTCTGATTAAAAGAAAAATAAAAAAGAATCTCTCTCTCTCTCTCTCTGGACGCAAAGAGTACAAAACAATCACCATGTTCATCTTCTCTAACTATCCCTCCCAAAAACCCTAAAATCCATAATCAAACCCACATGGTGGCTGATAGATACGATGAAAAAACCAAATCCTCAATTTTTTTTTTTCTGTTCTTTTGATTTTCTCCAATTCCACTTCTACTGCAAGAATCTTTAGGGTTTAGGACTATGTTCAACGAACAGATAGAAGCAATGCGCCCTCCATCTTTCTCCATTAAAGCATTCTACATTCTAGGGTTCGAATTACCCTCTCTTTGCGGTGTGATTTTACCAGATATTGAAGTTTGCCCCCGACAACTTTGATTTAGGTGTGATTAGGGCTCGAAAACCCTCAATTGGAGCAACAATGATATCGTACCTGCAACTCGAAATTCGGATGACGGGAACTGAACATCCTCTCCGGTAGAGATGATGAAAGAAAAAAAATGACTGGTCATTTGATTCCTCGGTTTGGCCCTTTGCGATTCACATAAAAAAATGGCAATGGGGACTTACGTAGTAGCATAACAAAGGTGGTCGATGGTGGTGACCAAGAGCAGCTCTACGGTGGCAGGAGGTTGCCCGACAGCCTAGCGGCTGCTTCTTTTTGCTTATGTCGGCAGTGGTCATCGGAGGGGAAGAGGGAAGAGGTAAGGCAGCAGGTTGGAGGGTTGCTTGGGGGTTGTTGTGTCATCGGAAGAAGGAGGGATAAGGGGTTGTGAAATGGTGGTACACGATGGCAGAAGGTGGCAGTATGGTGACGAGAAAAAGGATGGAAGGGAGTGAGGAAGGTCTGAGGTATGTTGGTGGAGTGGTTTTCGATCCAATGAGGGAGGTATAAAGGTAGTGTGTGGTGTTGGAGAGAGAGAGAGAGATTTCATTTTTTTAATTTTGTCATTGTAAATTATAAAAAGAAAATAGAAAATGCAAATTTTCTTTTTTATTTTTTCTTTTAATCAAAAAATATATTTAAATAATAAAAAAACTGAAAAAGAAAAAAATAATGGCAAAATAGTCATTATGAAAAAGTTTATAGAAAACTGCATCAAACACGCAACAAAATGAAAAGTTTGGACCTCTGGTGCTAGTCCAAACCTTTTTGGACCAACGTGACAATTTTCAGCTAACCACATGGACCATTTGTACAGTTTTGTCTTCGTAAAATCTACTCTTTATATCCAACTATGTCTAAAGTGAGATTTGAACCTATATATCACTTTTGACATTTTCTTATATAGAATTTATCTTCTCTATTTATGTAGATACACAATTACAAAAGCATTAATAGAAGCTATTTTGTTCCATCTTTTCTTGTTGATTATGTCTAATGCACATTAAATTTACGTTTAGTAGTGAACAATATGCATGTAGTAAAATCTTCGCTAAATTCAAATGCACAAATAGGAAATCTATCACCAACTTCTAACCATTTCTTTATTACAATAACAGAATAGATGATTTCTTTTTCAATAAACACCAAACAAAACAATATTTCCACTTAAGTGTGAACAAAAAATACAACAATAAAGGTGACCTTGAGATAAGGTCATTCCAATTTATAGCTTATGTAACATTACAGCTATAAATACGCAATCCAAATACTTCTTAGTACTTTTTAAATTCACCATATGTTATGTGAAAATTATATCTAAACTCAACCTCCTAATTTACTTTAGCTTAGAGGTCAAACCTTCTGGATATTTATGGAAAAATTATAGCGGTCGTGTGTGACGACCACTTGCCTTTCCACAAAGACGAGCATTTTTTGGGATTGGGAATTCGTCTCTAATTGATCCTGAATTTGTGTAAACACGTAAATAAAACTGTTGACCAAGATATTGTCTTGCCCAAAACTCTGTCCTCAAATTCCACATGCCCACGTTATCAAGTGGTACGTAAATTGCAGACCATGATTTTGGGTATACCTAAATATATGAAACACGGGTTAAAGAAAAATCAATTAATGACCAAAATTGAAAGAAAAAACATTTTGTTAACCAAAATTACGAAAAAGGAGCTATAATGAGGGACCAAAATGTAATTTACTAAAAGGAGACCTGAATGGTGCTACGTGCAACGCCATCTCGAAGATTGTAAACGTTCCTACTTCCTTTACTCCATACTCCTCCATCCATTCTGTCACAACAAATTAATAAAAATATTTGATTATATATTATAATAGAAAGTAGAAACCAAAACATATTATAAATTCTTTATTTTTTGTTCTTAATTAATTACTTACCCCACAACGAAGAATTGGTAGCCATCAAGGTGATAACTCATTACGATATCTTCAGGGTTTTGGAAGACGATTTCAACGAAAGTTCTGTAATCAGCCCCCATAACAGCGGTGTCAAGATACAACCCACCTCCGGTGGGCTTATCGGAAATACTTCCGACTCTGAAAACTCCACCGATGTTGAAATAATCGGCGAGTTTTAATGGAGTATCGGTGGGTTTGAATGAGACACTGTTGAGTCCATATCTTTGTTTTTTGTTGACTTGTGCGGCGGAGCTCTGGATGATGATGGTTCTGGTGGTGTTGATCATGCCGTAATGGTATGAACCTTGTGGGTTGGGCCTTGGGCCGCTTGCTGTAAGATTGGTCCTGGGATGAGCTACTTCGGTTATATGTTAAATGAAAAAAAGAAAAAAGAAAAAAGAAAAAAGAAAGAAAAATATGTAATCATATATATACTTTAGTAGGTTATAAATCAAAGATACTATAAGGTTGGCAGAATAACCTAATTTACTGTTAAATACTGAATTCAAATTAACTTTCAGATTTTATTACGATTTATTATTCCTTAATTGGAAATTTAAAAATATAAACTTATTAAAATATAAGCTTTATATCAAGTGAAATAGAAAAATAAAAATTACTAAGAAAATGACATGTAATATCATTATGTTTATAAAGATGACATATGACTATTGCCAAAATATAATGTTTTTATTTTTTATTTTTCCCTATTAATAAATGAAAGTAGGATGCTATAACAAATGATTAAATGTGACTGTATTGTTATTTCTTGTATTTAGCCTTTCATATTATTTAACCTGGTTTACCTATTTTTAATTAAATCTAGGTTCAGATGATACAAAGGTCTTGGGTTTTGTTGTATTCGTAACGTCACGAGAAGAAGCTACTATATGTGCAGGTGTTTTTTTTCATTTCATTAAAGTGTTGTTTCTTGCTTATAAATATCAATTCAACTTATTCAAGGTCAAATCTATTTTTTTTCAATCAGAATTTTAAATTAAAAATGTTACAATCACTACATGAATATCATGCATTAGATATGTTGGCACGCTTTTAACATAGTTACAATATTCCTTCAATTAAAAATATTGAGAATGTATATCGATCTTGGAGTTAAAAGTTAGTATTTGACCTCAAAAGTCAAAGTTCTACTTATATTTTTCTTATGGAAGAGTAGATCTTCATTTTTTTGGTTTTGTAGCTTAAAGATCTGTTACTTATACAAAAATTAACTATGGATTATTTATGTAATTTGTAATTTTTATGGTGGTTGTTGACTGCTATAAATTTTTTATTATGAAAGACATGAACGAGAACGGAAGATTTTTCCAAAATTACTTTGTTGACAATGGCAATAGATTTTGACTACATTTGCGAAATTAGTATAACTTACGATCAATTTTAGTTTTTTCAATACAATCTACAAAGTTCCTTTTTAACCATACCAAACGAATGTCAACCATATTTTGTAATATCGTGTAATTTTAGGTTTCGCAAGTTCTTTTTTGAAAGTCATCATTATGAATAATGGTATTTTTTTTATTTAATACAAACATAAATGATGGATTTTGTTTTCCTAAAGAGTTACCCGATGAAGTTGCAGGAGCTTGAAGTGTGTCGACAACTTTGGATCCGATGGATTTCATTGTCAGGGTGAGTAAAATGTTTCCAACTATCCAAGATCTGAACATCTTCAATTTTTGCATTTTATGCCGGTGTCTAGGCCTTGTTATTGTTATTCTACTAGAAGGTGCACAAAAATTAAAGACCACATCACAACCCCCCCCCCCCCCCCTAACTCCATCCCAATCTCAGTTCAATGTTCAAAGAGCAGTAACAACGGGTGGGCCCTAGATTTATAATTTTATGTATTGAAATTATAGCGTCCTACTTTAGAAAAGAAAAGTATGATATTATTAAAAAATAAAAGTGAGATGTTATTGCTCAACTTAAAGTTGTTAAAACCTCTTAGGAGTGAAATTTTCTAAAAAATTTAGAAAAGATTTTCCATATTCTTTTATATGTAACTTTTGTAAAAAAAAAAAAAGGTTAAAATTTCATATGTATAATGGTATAAACACATTTATTCCATGTTTTTATGTCATAAAAACCCGACCATCTACAAAACTATAATTGTTTGACAGGTACATGAACCATTCATTAAAGTTTATAGCAATGTACTTTTAAAGTAAATTGCTATTTTATGCTTAACTTAAAAGTTGTAACAGAAAATAGAATATGAAAATTTGTTAAAACGTCTTAATAGTGAAATTTTCTAGAAAAGTATTTTCCAGCTTCTTTTATATGGAACTTTTCCAAAAAAAGATTAAAACTTTATTTTATTACATTATTGTTATTTTTAATTTATCGTATAACAATATCATTTCCATGATTTATTGTGTTTTTTTTCACTTTATTAAAAATTATATTGCATTGTATAAAATCATAATTTAATCAAATGTGTATACATACAGACCGCAGAACGAATATTTATAACAATGTATATATTAATTTTATCTAATTATTATAAACTTATAGACAAAACTTTTATCTTTGTAATTTAATAATTTTTATAAATCTTTGATTTTTTATTACCATTTTAAAATATCAATAGTGGTTTTCTTTGATAACCCATGGTTTCCACGGGTTTTAACCTAGTAACCTAATTTACTGTTAAATTTTGAATTCAAATTAACTTTCAGATTTTATTACGATTTATTATTCCTTAATTGGAAATTTAAAAATATAAACTTATTAAAATATAAGCTTTATATTAAGTGAAATAGAAAAATAAAAATTACTAAGAAAATGACATGTAATATCATTATGTTTATAAAGATGACATATGACATATTTAGGTTTCATTTACAAGATAAATATCTGAATAAATTACAAATTTGGTCTTTTTTATAGTTTGTTTATAGTTTGCTAATTTGTTTGGATATTGATTTAAAATTATGAATTTGGTCATCGTCAAATTTGAAATGACTATCTTATCTTTTAAAAAATTTCTTGCATTTTTTTTTTATCATTTTTTAAACTTTTGATTTTTTTACTAATTTATTTAAATGAAAAATCAAAAGGAATCAGAAAACTATATGGACTGAATTTGCAATTTACTCTATATATTTTTAATCGTTATTTTTGATGGACAAATTTAATTTACTTCTAAATTACTCCTAAAAGAATGGATGTGATGAAAATCCATGTTTCTTTCATGGGATGTTGCCATGAAAGCATAATCAACTAGTTATTTTTACTAGCTTTTTGCTGGTGTTTTTAATAATAATTTTGTCATTTGGAAAAACAACAACAAATCCTTAAGGAATGAAGATTATTCAACATACAAACAAAGTAAACCAAATTGAGTGTTGGACTTTTCGACTCCCAACAATTTTGTATGTAGAAAACGTGTTATTTTGCATGATATATGTTACGGTATATGTTCAACATTGTTATCATGTTTCTAAACGTATGTTTTACGATAGAAACATAACCTTTTTTATAGATAGAAAATATTGAGTTCACGAGCATAAAACTTAGCTTAACATGTATTTCACAAAATGACACACAACAAGAAATGAGAAAATGTAAAATACTTGCAAATAGTTTCAATTTGTTTGTTCGTTTCCCAATATTCAATTAAGTTAAAGATCCTCATGTAATCTTGCGAGACATTTTAATTAAGATTTTCATGGTTAAATAAGGTTGTGTTAATGACATTATTATATAAGTAATAATTAGTAATCACAACATCATATTTTAGTATATGATATAAGAAAAAATATAATGGAGTAGCAAACCTGATTGAGCGAGCCTGGTTGAGGGACCAGTCCACTTGGATGGTTGGTCCACCGGGAATTGGGCCAGAGACTTTGCTAGCGGAGTTGCTATAATGAAGAACTCCAGTAGTGGCAAGGATTGGGTTGGTGAATCTAGAGGAGACGACAATATAGTAGTCTCGATCGGATTGATCGGCTGTAATCAACACCGAGTAAGATTGCCCACAATGAATATCAAGAGACGAATACATTTGTTGAACTGTGTGTGTTCCTTCAACCTCCACAAGTTTCATCCCTGTGGTTTTGAATGCGGAAATTAAGGGAATTCTGTAGTCCCACATTCGATATTCTTAACCTATAAGTTTTTCCTGTTTACCAAACAAAAAAGTGTAAACATCATGTAATCAATTTGAAAATGATTCATCCATATTTAGGGTATTCTATAGTTTTACCTTTTTGGACCGTAAAGGATGTAACATTTGGCCCACGTCCATTGATAAGAATTCCATCGGGATTTCGTAGTTTATGTCCTCGGTCTAGAATTGCTTTCAATGCCTAAAACAATAATACGTTTGTTAGTCGTTGTAAGGATTTAATTCAAAAACTTTTTTTTTTACCAACTATTAGTTATTAAAAAATATCAGCAAAACTGATTTTCTCCATATTTTTGGAATTTAGACATTTTGGTAGGTTGGTAGAATATGACCAAAAGGTCCTAAACAATCAAATGGGGTTGCAGTGAAAGAAATATAGATTCTTTTTTTTAATTATCAAACAAACCATGTGAACATGTTCATAGATTTTTAACATATATGATGTGAATCATGAGAAAACAAGGCATGTGAAGAGGGCTAACAAAATACCTACATGTTTGTTATATTTTTATGTAAACGTAGATATTTAAACAAAAAATACCACATGATATTTAAAATATTTACAAAATATATTACCAAGTACTATTCAAAGCAATGGCTTTAAATTTTTTAAACTTAGAAATTTTACTTTCATTTCTTTATTAGGTTGTAATTTTTTCATCAAAATAATCTTTCTCCCGACTCAAATTGTGAAATGGATAGGTTTTTGAATACGGAATATGACTTATTAAGGTAATTAACTTTTCGGTTTGTTCACATGTAGGTAACTATCTTTTTTTTGTACACATTTAGATAACAAACTTGTTGGAGGTGTTCATATATGACCATTATGACCTGCTGTAGCAGATTACATCCTAGATGTGAACACTTTTAACAAGTTCGTTACCTAGATGTGTACAAAAAAAATAGTTACTCAAATATGAACAAAACGAAAAGTAAGAGTAAATTACACGAATGGTCCCTATGGTTTGGGGAAATTTGTGTTTTTGGTCCCTAACTTATCTTTTTTAACTCGGATGGTCTCTACTGTTTATTTTTGTTGCGTGTTTGGTCCATGTCTTACCTAAAAAGACTATAGTTCCCTTGTTAGTTTATTTTTTTAAATTAATTTTCTTATTTATGTATTTATTCTTTACATATTAACAAAAAATAGACACCACATACCTGTATCTCCTCACCATCTCATCTCTCATCCTCCTTAACTTCTATTTATTTTTCATCTTTAGTGATATCGACGTCTTCACCATCCCTTCTTTTTTCGGTCCTTCAACTCCGTCGAATCAACACCACAACCCACTAAAGATGAAGAGACAGTGGGTTATGGTGTTGGTTCGCCATATTTGAAGGACAGAAAAAAAGGATGGTGAAGACGTCGATGTCACTAAAGATGGAAAATAAATAGAAGTTGAGGAGGATGAGAGATTGTATGGTGGCTGATGAGACCAAAATTAAATTTCTCAAATGCGGTTTCAGGTTTACGGTGAAGAGATACATATATGTGGGGTCTATTAATTTTTTTAAATATATAAAAAATAAATACATAAATAAGAAAATTAATTAAAAAATAAATTAATAATGGCACAATACTATTTTTAGGTAAGACAGAGACCAAACGCGCAACAAAAATAAACAGTAGAGACCATCCGAGTTAAAGAAATAAGTTAGAGATCAAAAACACAAATCTCCTAAACCATAGGGACCATTTGTGTAATTTACTCTTACTTTTTGTTTTGTTCATATTTGGGTAACTATTTTTTTTACACATTTAGGTAACGAACTTGTTAAAAGTGTTCACATCTAGGATGTAACCTGCTACAGCACGTCATAATGGTCATATGTGAACACTTCCAACAAGTTCGTTACCTAGATGTATACAAAAAAAAAGATAGTTGCCTAGATGTGAACAAACCGAAAAGTTAATTACCTTAATAAATCATATTCCTTTTTGAATAATATTAAGTTATTAACTCTATAATACCACAACAATAAAATAATTAAAAGATGAAATGCGTTGGAATAAAAATAAAAAACTTAACATTTCCTTTCTATTGAATAATATTTTATATATTAATAATAAAACTAATAAAAAACAACAATAAAGTATCCAATCAAATTACAGGAACATGACTTGAATTGAAACCTATGTACTTTTTCAACACATTTGTCACGAAAAGATGGTACTATTTTGGGCTGAATGTTAGTTGGATGTGCTTTCGACACTTGTACTTATTACAACGCCATTTGTGTATGGTCTAAGACATATATGTTATTTCTCTTGAATAATTTTTTATATATGAGTTACCAAATTAGTATATCGTTTTTTAATTAGATGATACATAGTTACAGATGTTGTATGATAACAAACTCAATTAGACGTATCTACAAACATCCTTTCATTGTCTTGTTCCGAAAAAAACAAGACATTGATATATTACAAATTTATTATATTAAAATTTTTTGATAGCTTTTTAAAATTTCAATTAAAAGACTGATTTTTTTTTTTTTTTAGATTCACAGTATTCGATAGTCTTTTAATTTTACATCTTAATTGCTCAGCATTCTTGTAATTTTTAAAAGAAAATTTGTATCTTGATAAAAATAATATGAGTGTGTTCCACAAATACGCTAACTTTTTTCAACAAACCTTTTTTTTCTCTTTTTATTTCATACGACCGTCTCCATTTTTTTTCAAGTGTCATCTATGACTCCAACCTACTAAAAGTTCACATCCTGTTTAAACAACTCCTAACTTAATGTGATTTTGTTTCTAAATTTTGCACATTTTAAATTTAGTTTCTTGTTTTGTTTGAGATCTACATTCATCGCTTTTCACATAACTTGGCATCCACTCCTTTTACTAACGGGTTGATATATGTGTTTGACGTACAACACCTAGCTTAATTTTTGAGCTTTTAAAGGTGTTATGTTCGACAAAACCAAAAAGTAGCTTAAAAGTTAGCATTTTAAAAAACTACTTGTACTAGTTTTTCATAAGTTTTTCTAAATTTTCCAAATATACCTTTAATTATAAACATTATATTTTTCTCAATGACATTCTATGTTATATATCTTTCAACTAACTTATTAATTAGTTTTTACCACACATCATTTTTTATCAGCTAACAGTTGACCTTTCAGCTAACAACCGACTTTTCAACTAGTACACCAAGAATCTCATTCAATGACATATTTCTACACTCCTTTTCTCCAAAAACAATAGAAAAAAAAAGTCAATGTAAGCCGAAAATTTTATTAGCTTTTTATTGTTAAATTTAACTCTTGATTGCTATTATTACAAAAATAATCAACTTTCAAAAAGAATATATATAAAAGTTGTAACATAACTAGAATAATCTCTACATTCACCTTGTGACATAAACTTATTGGTTGATTTGCATAATTTCACACAACATGTCAAAGGTTAAGAGTGTATTGTCCAAAATATTGTTGATGTTCCGCGATTGATATCTTTACATAAACTTGTGAATAGATTAACATGGTGGTTTGTTCAAATGGTGTGATTACTACCATCTTACCTTTTTTATTTCTTAATCTTCACATTCAAATATCCCTCACCTAAAGCTAGAAGTACGCTATGTTCCACTACTACGTTTCTAATGACATTTACATATTTGTTCTTTAACAACTTACAAAACAATATATATCATTTTATCAACTACTGGATTAACTAGCAACTAACTTTTTAACTGGTCTAATATATATATATATATATATATATATATATATATATATATATATATATATATAGTTATGTTTGATAGACCAACTAAAAAACTAGTTGATAGTTAATCCACCAATTGATAAAAGGACGATGTGTTGATAAATATAGATGACATAAATTGACATATAAAAGAAATATTTAATCTTATAAAACAAATATATATATATAATGGTCACCTTGTGCATTTAATAATTTATTAAAAAATGTTATATTTAATAGATATATAATTTTCAAAAACTCTGTGAATAATATTAATAGGCATGTTTTGTAAAACTAAGTTGTAGATGTTAACTGGAAGCTGGTAGCTGGTAGCTACTGATAAGAATAGAAACTGTAGTTTTTGTTTATACAGAAGTATTTGACAAAAATAATTTTTAGCTTTTAAAATTATAAAATTATATAAAACCAAAAATTAAAAACTTTCAAAACTGCTTGGAATAACTTTTGAATTTGAAATTTTTCATTAAAAGTAAAAGCTTACTCCCAAACAAAAGATTTTTTTCGAGCTTTTTTCATAAAAAATTAAAAACTCGCAAAAAGTATATTTTTTTGTTCTTACTATTCAATATAAAAAACGTGTATATTTTTGAAATTTATTCATGTATGCATGGCCCATTTTGAAACAGTACCAAAACCCAATTATGATTAAGAAACAGTTTGGTATCATACACAAAATATTATAATGGATAGTCTTTTAATAAATAAAAAAAAATTCTAATGGATTGACTATAAACAATTAAATGATCTTGAGATGATTTCTTTTAATTAATTAAGTTTATATATTAAATAAACGCCATAAACTTGTTCAAAAGTTAATCGAAGTATATTTTAAAAAAATAAAAAATAAAAATAAATTTTTTTTAAAAAAAAAACTATCTTATATTCTATTTTTTTATTGTATCAAACGTAACAATCTAAATAACTCAAAATAAATTAGTTTACAAGTATGTTTTAGAATCCCAAACATAATCTTAGAATCCCATCCCCAATTTTGTTCATCTCTATTGCCACGTATATAAAGGTTACAAAGGGCAAAGAAAGGTTAACAAGTGACCCACTTAAAGTAGTACTCATGTTAAGGACCCAAATTCCTTGCCTCCAAAGTAAACAAAAGATGCAACATTCTCTCCGCAATTAATGCAAGATCTATCATGCTTAATAACACTTTTTTATCATTTGGCGCCAAATTAGAAAGACAACATTTAAATTAAAAAAAATCATTATAAATTTTTCAACCTCATAAACACATAAGTACTCAAAAAGAAAAGGAATTCAACATATTTATAAGTATGTTAAAATATCCGATTGTCACCAAACCTACTGGGGTTATTATTATTATATTATTAATATGAAAGTACATAAATATATAATGCAATATGAATGAAACATAAAACGTCATAATCTCATGGACCATTGTATGTGAAATTATTAATGAGATACTTACTAATAGTTAATGGATTTTGTATAATTTGAATTTTAGTACAAAATATTATACCCGTGTAACAAGTCGTAAGTCATGGTGTGAGACCATAACATTATTATTATTATTATTATTTTGTTTTAATCAATTCATTTCAAAGAAGAGGGAGATATGAAGGTGGGAAGAAAAAAGTAAGGCAATGATACTTACGGTGTGGTTAGACTTGTACCAGTCTCCAATAAGAACGGTAAAATCGTCAGCAGGTTCATCGAATGGTACAGGAATTCTTGGACGACTAAGAATCCTGATACCTCCAAACCCACCAGCAGCTTTGTGGAACGCTAGAGAAGGGAAATAGTAAAAGCTTCCGATTTGATCTTTCACCTGAAGAATGTATGTGAAGTTTTTACCAGGAGGGATTGGACATGTTGTTCCTAACACCCCATCTTCAAATGAATTCCTTCTTTTGTTGTATTCCATTCCTACGTAACGATATACAATTAATACAATACATAAGGTCCAATGTTCAAAACCTGGTACAACATTATATTATCAGTTATCTGCAATTTACTCTATATAATAGGCTTTGCAACGGGTTCAGTGTGGTAAATGCAGATGGTATGGTTACCGTTTTTTGTACAATCAGTACACTTGAATTTATTGCAATACGGTCAATATTTTTTACTAATTCACATTGATTTGTTTATACAAATTTCAAAATTCTTTATTTACTTGAAGTGTATAGAACTTAAGTTGAAATAACTCAATAAAAGGGAAAAACTTATTTGCTACAATTGATCTAAATTTAAAATATCAATTTTATGTGTTTACAAATGAGGGTATATGCAATGAAATGATGACCTCATCTAGTGTGAAATTGTAGGTTTTTTAAAATGTTTTTCTTGATCTCCTAAAAGAAAATAATATATCATTATATTATTTTTAGGACATTCCAAAAAAAGGCAACTATTCGACCAAATCCTTAAAAAGAATCTGTAAAATCTCAGATCTCGTGCTAATTGGCTGATAAAAATTTAAGGTTATCTTCCTCGGTTAGAGCAACTATTCACTTCATAACATTCTTTTGATCTTTTCTTCGTTTTTAATAATTTAAAACCAGAAAACAGATCTAAATTTATGTCAGCCAGCTTTTACCAATATTTAGAAATTTTAGACTACTAACAAATGGGATATCAATTATCAAAAGAAACTTTAGTAAGAAAAACCTTTAGAATAAACATCATGATAATTCGATTCAGAATTGTGATTTAAACAACTTTAAGTATGTAATTAAGTTTAATCCATTTGACATTCATGATCATGGATCAATCGTATAAACAGAAAAAAATATCAATCTTCAGGAAAAACAAGAATTTTGTTGCATAAGTTCATGCTCAAACACAAAACTTTTCTTTTGTGAAATGAAAAACGATGAATTACCATGAGATAAGAAAAGGTTCGTCTAAGCTGTTGAAGACATTGATGATGAGATTGTCATTTGTAACTGAGTAAATATCAGGCCCAGGAAACTTTCCATTAATCAAAATGCCCTGCAATTCAAACACACACATAATCATTAACCGCTTTTCATCCACTTTACACAGTTTCAGATCACAGAAATTAAACACGAAATTAAGGGGATATACAGCGTAATGGTTTCAGATCATCATCGTCAATGTAAAAAAGATCACGAATTAAACACAAAACTGAGAAATCAAACGTAAAAAATGTTGATTGGAGTAAAGTTATTGAGTGATTGGATATATACCGACCTGTTGACGAACACCGAGTGGATAGATATCGCCATATGTGACATTCCATTCGAAGAATCTGTATGGATCTTCGGCGCCGGTAATGGCGATGAGGAAAGCACCGACGGTGATAAAAACCGCCAAATTTCGCGGCATTATCTTCATCGGCGATGGTGATTCACGCAAATACTTTCTCTCTCTATTTTGGAGAGAGAAGAAATTAGAATTGAGAAGATTGAAGTAAATGAGGAATTGAAGTGTCGTACAGAGTGATGGAGGTGCAGTTGCTTCTGTTGTGAAGGAGAAGGAGAGGATTAAAAGAAGGGGGTGAAGATTCGAGAGGGAAATTAAATAAAAATTAAAAAGATGTCTGCTGGGAATATTTTTATTTTTTATTTATTTTTTTCAAATGATTTTATGAATAATATATTTCTACATGAATTCTCAATGTTAAATTATATGTATTTCTTAATCGTATATACTGAAATATAAAGTTTTATTTGATATATCTATTTTTTATAATTAAACTAATTATGTTTTTTCTGTTAATTCTAAAAGAATATGGTAATATAGATATGATGTAATTGTGAAAAGGGATTAGGAAAAGTGTTTACACAAGAAAAGAAATGTAAATTGACAAATTAAAATTTGATGGACCACATTTTCTTTATATGACTATGAAAACTCAAAGCATAAGTAACTACCAAACTCCGATAACATGTTTTTATGTTTTGCCTTAAACAAATAATAAAATCATTTTTTGAACATTTTTTTAGATTTTACTGCATTTGTTACTAAAGTGATTGAAGTGGTTGAATGAATATTGATCATACTTTTGTTTTTTGTAATGTCTCGAGCAACACCAACGGCATATGACAATTTGAGTATCATATTTATATAACATTACCAAAGCAATTTTCAATGTTATTTAAATCTAGTTCAACACTTAAATATCAAAAACAACTAAACTTCGCCATTGATCAAGATAAAGGGTTTCTAATTAAAGCAAGTAGGGTTCATGAGAAAAAAAAATATCTACCTCCAACCCAAAGGAATCCGACCTCTTTAGTGTTTAGAAGTGATACACTTTAAGAATCAATGCACTAACAATGATCAAGAGCTCATTCTTTCACCTTGATTGCACAAAATCACACCGAAAGTCCTACCTCCATTCTCTTTAAAGACCAAAACACAATTACACCAAACAAACTAACTAGGGTTAATTGTCATTTTATAGTTATCTTTAATTGTTTCCCATAAGTTACATTTTGCTCCCTACCTTTCTATCACAAGCATAAACATTTCACACTTCTACTTCTATTAGAAAATAAGGACATCAATAGTAGCAACATGCCAACATACTTTTTTTTTTCGAAAGAGACCTATGTCTTCGGCAAAATTAGTAGCAACATACTTAAATAGGTTGAGTGCTTACCTTATGTATACTTTCCAATTTTCCACTACTTAAGTTATACTTTCCAAATTTGGCACTACTTAAGTTCTAAATTTTTACAACTCACCCAGAAATACTCTAAAGTAATCTTTTAAAAGAAAGGCATTTATGTTTCCATAGTATGTGTATATGATATCTATCTTGAGATGCATGATAATATTATTGGACTCCTTGATAAGATTATTGCATCGGTTGTTAATATACCATGCAAATGGTCTTTGCAAGTTGCAAGTTGTTAACTAAGCAGATTATTAAACTTGCAAATACTGCAATGCTAGTTGAAATACCAAATAAGCAATAATGGCCCCGCCATTTTATCAAATTACACATTCTTTTAACATATAAAATATAAATATATTGAAAACACTTCAATTATTAACCGAAAAATAATTATTATGTATAGCATGGAAAAGTCATTGCCATTTTGTAACAAATATCGGAAGGTAAGAATACTCATATTGTTTATGCATGATAGATTTCCTCTTGCATAATGTACGGCATTTTTAATTAAAATAACCTTCCAAATTTATATGTTTTATATTGAATAGTTCAACGATTTAGCATTCTTTATAGATGAAATGTATTAATTGTTTTAACTGAAACAAAACTCTAAAACTAAGGATTTACGATTATAGGTTAGTGGGATTAAGAAGGGGGACAAATGCTAAAACACATGATATGTTGATGTTTTTGGACTTTGATCAGTTGATGATAGAATGTGCGCCTAAGGATGCGGCGTTAATAGGCAAATTAATGTGTAGAATAACAAAGCATCATGTCCACACTACTCCCTCATGCCCTTTTCCTCCCATCTTTCGTACCATTTTATTAACTTTTTAACCTTTAATTTTCTCCCTTTTAAAAAGAATATAGCTTTCAAAACTATGTAACATTTTAATATATGTTTTATAGTTTATACTTGTCTTAATTTAATTGATCAGAATAAAAAGAATTAAACAACCGATACAATTTTAAGGTTATAAAATGACTAATAAACTTACTTTTAGATAGGGTTCATTGCAAAAAAGAATATAACTTTGATAGCTTATTTTATTTCCTTATTTTTATTAGTTTATTATAGTATTTTTAGCTCTTTTTATTAGTATTGCATTATATATTCTTTATTTTTCTTTATCATAGATCATATCGGGGACTTTTTATGTTGCATGAGGTATTTTGCAGGGTTTTGGAGCTTGTTGCGGTTATGGATTAGCTTGGAAATGGGCTTTGTGGGCTTCCGAGACATTATTGCGCTTTGCAGATCCATTAAATGAGATTTTGGCTTAAAAAGCTAAAGACTTAGATGAAGTGGGCTTGTGAAGATGGGTCATGGATTTGTATTTTGGGATTGGAGCATCCATATTTGAAGCTAAAAGATGATTGGTTAATTTGAAACATGTGGGATATGGAGGGGACCAATGGAATCTTTGGTAGTTGAATGGTTAGTGGAGGAAAAATGAGCCAATAGCATTCCAGCAATATTTGTGCGGGTGAATTTTCACGCACGCGGGTAGCCGCGCAACTGCCCAGTTTTTGGCATTTTGGTCATTTGGCTTGCCATTTACCTTTGGGGTTGGATCTTTCAACTATCACTTCGATTTTACACGATTGGAGACCAGAAGAAGGCGATTTTGGAGCTTGAGACTCATTTCTTTTCATCTTTCCAAGTTCTTGGTAGTTTCTTTATGCAATTAGACTTTTGTGATTGTTATTCTATTGCCATTAGTGGCTAATTTCTCTATTTTGGTTAGCCTTGGCTAAAACCTTTGAATGTTTGTGGGTTTTTGAAGGATTCTGTTTATTTATCATTTATCTTATGTCTATGATTCTAGTTCATACTTCCTATGCTTGTTTAATGCTTTGATCATGAGCTTGGTACTTGAATAAGCAATTGTCGGTTTATTTCTTTGGTTTAACATTGAATCATTGAATTTACTTAGAACAAGGGCTTTATGATGGTAGAAATCATCTCTAGCTTATGAATCATAAATCCTTTATGGATGTGTAAGCATTGACATCCTCTAGGAATTGGGGATTCCTTCATTCTTAAGGCTAATCAACTTCTTGGGTTCAATTGCTTCAATTGGATCTTTGATTTTGATTAAGAATGTGTGTTGTGGGCTTCCCCAACCTCCATATTACCTATGAGGAATCTTGGCATATCATGCTTCATGATTGTTATAACCAATTTGGGATGAATGATACGCTTCATGTTGAATCCTAATGATAAACACACAAATGTTCATTTAGTTGAATTGTCTTGGTTAACAAATTCTCTCCAATATTTGAGCATCTCATCATCTTGCTTAATTGCAAGCTTTTTAGTTATTCAAGTCTTTTAGTTTTCAAGCAATCACAACACCCCCCCCCTTTTAGTTTAATTGTAGTTAGTTTATTTACACTAGTTCTATTGGATTGCATTGGTGATTGAATACAACCATTTCCCCGAGGATCGATACCCTTTTTTACCATTATATTACGTTTTATTTGCAAACAAATGGTGTAATTTGCTTGGTGGACTTGACATCCCACCAAGTTTTGCTACATTGTCTTATAGCACACTAACATGTTTTTCTAACTACTTGACGTAATATGTTTTGGAATGATATTTTGCGACACATGCTCCTCTTAGCCTTCACTTTCCTCGTGTTTTATTTTTATTATTTTTTTATTAGAGAAGCATTAAAATTGTTTGGTTAGAGATCATCTTCCATTGGAACATACCAAATTCACCAAATATCCCAATTTCACTTTTCGATACATAGTGGAACTCATAACAACATATAAACCTCTTTCGATGACGATGATAATTAATCGGGTAACCAAAACATTATCCTAAGACAAGTCAAACATTTTATAGAACATTTGATGTGTGTTATAATTTACAAATTAGCAAATCCTAAAAACAAGGAAAAACTTAAATGCACTACAAGAACAACAAACAAAAAAAAATATAAATTAAATATTTCACCCCAAGCTTAAACCTAACTTGTCCTCAAGTTAGAACAAGACTAAAATGAGCTCGAGATGAGCTAAACTAAAAAGGAAAAAGAAAGGTACCATAGAACTTGGTCAACATCAGTCAACATGGTCAGAATTAGTCCTTCATGGACCCTACGCATCCTCAAAATGTTTCTCGCTTTAGAGCCATAAACCACATTCTCAACCACTTGATGGGCGAATAGATCACGGCTGGAAGTAGTCGCGGTGTGCAAGACAAAGGAAACAGAGATGCGCCCAGTGGGGGCACTTTAAATCACCAATGTAGACCATAGTACACGAAGGAAATGCGCCTCTTCACACACTATGATTCATACATTTGTCAGGCTAAAGTGTATAGTACGAAATAGGGCTTTGCAGCGCGGCCTCCGGGCAAACATCCGGCTTCAGAGGTTTCTCCCCTTGTACTGTCCTTTACAGTCTACCGTCTCATCGTCAAGGCCTTTTCTCACCGAAAATGAAAAATAAAATAAAATAATAAAAATTCTACTTAACCTAAACTTAAACCTAACAACTTAAATCTTCAATCTTGAACTTCTGTTATTTGGTCTTCAGCCTCTTTGATGCTTGATATTCAGTCTTCTTAAATCTTCAATTTTTTTTTTTTGATAAAACTAAAGCCTTGAACTTGGATTCTTGTTCTTCTTTTTGTGTTGCTCTTTTTCTTCATTTTTCTTCTTTGTTTTTGCTGCTTTTCTTTAATATTCTTCATTGTTTCTTTTTGTATTCACTTTTCCAATTTCTTCATTTTTTTTTTTCTTTGAAGGTCTAAGGAATTTCACCAAGTAACATAGGATGGAGGCTAACATGAAAACCTAATGATGATTGACAATGTGCCAAGAT